GAGAGAGAGAGAGAGAGAGAGAGAGAGAAAGAGAGACACGCGACCCCCACGATACGGTCGGTGGCTGCACTGTCAGTGTTATTGTGCCGCGTTCATTTCACTTGTTGGAGCCGCGCTTATAAGCGCGCAAACTTTCCTTCTCGAGTACGTTATTTGGGTGTATAAGTAGTGGTGAAAACAGGCGCTCTTTAAAAGAATGAAATGATTCTTTTTAAACAATTTTATACTTTATTGTTGTTTGCTTTTGTTGTTTTTGTTTGTGTTGATTTGTTTGTTTGTTAGATGCGTTCTTTGTTTGGGTTTTCTTTCTTTCCTTATTAGATTGTTTGTTAGTATGTTTTTTTATGTGTTTCTGTTGGCTTTTTTGTTTGTTTCGTTGTTTGGGTGGTTGGTTGGTTGGTTGGTTGGTTGGTTGGTTGTAAGGTAGGTTAGTTGCTGTTGTTTTTGTTTGTTTGTTTATTTGTTGGGAAGACACAACACGTTATGTCCATTGACAAAAGAAAACTCATTTCCCAATGTGTTTCACCGAAAAGCATCGATGAAAGGTTTTTAAAAAAAAGGAAATTTGAAGTTTTCCAGGACTCTCAAGCTTTAGAATTCAACAAGCTTTGGCGTCCATTTCCTCACTAATTCTACCTCTGACATAAGGCAACCTTCTTCTTCTTCAGTCAGAAATATCTCGCCTTCTTTTCAAGACGTATTATAGTTACCCCCATAAGCAATACAAAAATACAAGTGTTGTAAAAATGTTGAAAAATTCAAATCATGCCCCAAACTGGACGAGCGCCACATCCCACTGAGCCGTGACACATTTTGAAACAGAGTCGTGAAGCAAAGTTCTGATCAGAGTACCATGAGGGGATGGGGAGCCTGTACTTCTTTTTTCTTCTTTCAGTTTTTTTTGGTTTTTGTCTATCGTTCTTACTCTTTCAATCCACTAATGTATGCTTTCCTTTATCCAATAAAAAGTCAGTGAAAAATTTACTTTTCAGGGTAATATAATAAAATGATAATAATAATTATTATTATAATAATGATTAATAGCAATAATAATAATGTTCTTTTTAAACTTTGAATAATTTTTAGAAGAAGAAGAAGAAAACGAAGAAGAAGAAGAAGAAGAAGAAGAAGAAGAAGAAGAAGAAGAA